CTCTGCTCTTCTGACTTCTCAGAGTCGAGCCAATTTTAGGTCTTTTTTGAATATAGGTATTTAAAGTTATAAATTTCCCTCTAAAAGCTGTTTTAACTGCATTTTACAAATTTTATCAATGAAATTAAAATATTTTCTAATTTCCTTTGTGGTTTCTCCTTTGAACTATGGGTTACTTAGGAGTGTGTTGTTTAATTTCCAAATATTTGGGATTTTCCTACGTATCTTATTTAATTCTTTTGTGAGTACAGAACATATTCTTCGTGAACTCAGAATTGTGTTTCTACCTATTGCAGGATGTTGGGTGTTGCATTTCAGAGGCATCCTGTGTGTTTATTTTTGTGCAGGCAGCTTTGCTGAGGGTTAATTATTCTGGTGACTCATCTGTGAGATGCTTTGGGTTTTCTGTCTAGATCATCGTGCCATTTGCAGACATTTGTGTTCCTTTCCAGTCCTGATACCATTCAGTACTTTCGTGCCTTGCTGTGCTGTGTTCACAGGAAACAGACCTCCCTTGTGTCTCGGTGTCTCAGGAGGTAAGTCTTCCTGGACACCAGAGAAAGGCTGGCGTAGGTTCCTGGGCTGGGTGTGAGCCGGGCTCCCTAAAGAAAGACAGATGGGTCCCCCAAGTTCACCTAAGCCGGTGATTAAAAGGTCTTGCTGAGTAGCTGCGCCCTGAGTCACATGATTATGTGCGGTGCTCGCTCCCTGTACCTGTGTCCTCTGAGAGCTGCTCTGCGCGTCACAGGTGAGCTCAGGTGAGCCCCCTTCTCCCCTGTGGTCCTTTCCACCCTGGGGGCTAGTTTTCTTGCAGCTGTAGGAAAATGAGCTTTATTTTTGTGCTGTTGTTTCATCTGCGAAAACACAGGAAAGCCAAGTACTTACTTGGTGCACCTCAAGTCTCATTGGAGACGGTCGGGTTTAGGCATCGTCTCAGGGACGGGGTCCTGAGCGCCCCTGCATAAGCTGTGGGACTAGTGGCCTCTGTAAAGCTGCGAGTCCCATCTCTC